ATAGGGTCAAGGAGTGTAGTTATAAAAAATCATCAAAATCGGAGTTAAAATAACCGTTAAATTTTGATTTTTCGTTTATAACCGTCGAAAAGCTTTGTCCCGTTACTTGATCTCTGAATGTTTTTTTTTTGTGATTTTTTGCTGATGTGATCTCCAAGCATATACAAACAATTTTGACGGTTTTGATCGTTGAAATTAGTTTTGGAGAATTCGTAAAATGATAGATTGACTAACACTTAGAGTTTACTTATACTTTTATTAAGTATAACATAAGATTTTGTGGTATCCACTTGTATAAATATTTTAAATTGAAGATCGAATTCATTCATTGTATTCATATAGGGTCAAGGAGTGTAGTTATAAAAAATCATCAAAATCGGAGTTAAAATAACCGTTAAATCTTGATTTTTCGTTTATAACCGTTGAAAAGCTTTGTCCCGTTACTTGATCTTTGAATGTTTTTTTTTTGTGATTTTTTGCTGATGTGATCTCCAAGCATATACAAACAATTTTGATGGTTTGGATCGTTGAAATTAGTTTTGGAGAATTCGTAAAACGATAGATTGACTAACACTTAGAGTTTATTTATACTTTTATTAAGTATAACATAAGATTTGTGGTATCCACTTGTGTAAATATTTTAAATTGAAGATTGAATTCATTCATTGTATTCATATAGGGTCAAGGAGTGTAGTTATAAAAAATCATCAAAATCGGAGTTAAAATAACCGTTAAATCTTGATTTTTCGTTTATAACCGTCGAAAAGCTTTGTCCCGTTACTTGATCTCTGAATGTTTTTTTTTTGTGATTTTTTGCTGATGTGATCTCCAACATATACAAACAATTTTGACGGTTTTGATCGTTGAAATTAGTTTTGGAGAATTCGTAAAATGATATATTGTCTAACACTTAGAGTTTATTTATACTTTTATTAAGTATAACATAAGATTTTGTGGTATCCACTTGTGTAAATATTTTAAATTGAAGATCGAATTCATTCATTGTATTCATATAGGGTCAAGGAGTGTAGTTATAAAAAATCATCAAAATCGGAGTTAAAATAACCGTTAAATCTTGATTTTTCGATTATAACCGTCGAAAAGCTTTGTCCCGTTACTTGATCTCTGAATGTTTTTTTTTTGTGATTTTTTGCTGATGTGATCTCCAAGCATATACAAACAATTTTGACGGTTTTGATCGTTGAAATTAGTTTTGGAGAATTCGTAAAATGATAGATTGACTAACACTTAGAGTTTATTTATACTTTTATTAAGTATAACATAAGATTTTGTGGTATCCACTTGTGTAAATATTTTAAATTGAAGATCGAATTTATTCATTGTATTCATATAGGGTCAAGGAGTGTAGTTATAAAAAATCATTAAAATCGGAGTTAAAATAACCGTTAAATCTTGATTTTTCGTTTATAACCGTCGAAAAGCTTTGTCCCGTTACTTGGTCTCTGAATGTTTTTTTTTTGTGATTTTTTGCTGATGTGATCTCCAAGGATATACAAACAATTTTGACGGTTTTGATCGTTGAAATTAGTTTTGGAGAATTCGTAAAATGATAGATTGACTAACATTTAGAGTTTATTTATACTTTTATTAAGTATAACATAAGATTTTGTGGTATCCACTTGTGTAAATATTTTAAATTGAAGATCGAATTCATTCATTGTATTCATATAGGGTCAAGGAGTGTAGTTATAAAAAATCATCAAAATCGGAGTTAAAATAACCGTTAAATCTTGATTTTTCGTTTATAACCGTTGAAAAGCTTTGTCCCGTTACTTGATCTTTGAATGTTTTTTTTTTTTGTGATTTTTCGCTGATGTGATCTCCAAGCATATACAAACAATTTTGACGGTTTGGATCGTTGAAATTAGTTTTGGAGAATTCGTAAAACGATAGATTGACTAACACTTAGAGTTTATTTATACTTTTATTAAGTATAACATAAGATTTTGTGGTATCCACTTGTGTAAATATTTTAAATTGAAGATCGAATTCATTCATTGTATTCATATAGGGTCAAGAGGTGTAGTTATAAAAAATTATCAAAATCGGAGTTAAAATAACCGTTAAATCGTGATTTTTCGTTTATAACCGTTGAAAAGCTTTGTCCCGTTACTTGATCTCTGAATGTTTTTTTTTTGTGATTTTTTGCTGATATGATCTCCAAGCATATACAAACAATTTTGACGGTTTGGATCGTTGAAATTAGTTTTGGAGAATTCGTATGCCATCAATCAAGTTCCGTGTGTGTGTGTGTGTATATATATATATTTATTAAGTAGATTTAAATCTATTTATTTTGTACGTATAAATTATAATTGACTGGTACACGGAATAGTACATACATCACGTGTCACGTGTTCATTATAAAAATAGTGAGATATGTCATGACAGTCATGTGTGTGATAAAAAGTTAATAACTTAAAAAAAAAAAAAAAATTTCTCACCACTTCTATTAATTTTCATTTTTCCCTCTCTTTTTTGTTTCCTTTTCAACTTTTTCTTATCATTTTCACTTTTCCCTCCAACATCTTTCCCTAATTCCCTCACTTTTTTGTTTTATTTTAAACTTTTCTTAACATTTTCATTTTCCCTCCATTTTTTTCTTCCAAAAAGGACGGCAAGTTGGCAAATGCATGATCATGCATATTAAATTATTAATTCATATGCATTATAATTTTTATAAAATTTAATATATATATATATATAATATAATTAGTATAGATAGACTTAATATTTTGGGGTATAATTATTATAGTATATATAATTATTATAATTATTATAAATTTTATAGTTAATTTAATATATATATATATATATATATTTATTATAATTTTTAGGGGTATAAAATTGTAAAATTAATGTATATAATTATTACAATATTTTTTTAGGGGTTATAAAATTATAAAAATAATATTTTGCTTATCGTGTATCGTGTTTACCCACGTGTATACCCGACCCGACCCGTTATCTTAACAGGTGCTTATCGGGTTACCCGATAAGACCCGATTCGTTATCGTGTCGACCCAAACACCTGTTAATTTCGTGTCGTGTCGTGTCGGGTTATCGGGTCGTGTCAGAAATTGTCAGGCCTACTCCTAACCACCTCCCTCTCCTCCACTTTCTTCACCTCATTTCCCATCCAAAAAACCCACCCAACCTTACCCCACCCCACCCCACCCCACCCCACCCTTACCTTCCCCAAGCTATTATGGGAACCCTGTTGCTAACCAGAATTATGTTTCTAGCCCTAGATCTAGAAAGTCGTTGATGCAATATGAACAAAGGAGAATCGAGGCGCAGCCGCTGTCAGAGATGGTTGCGAAGAGATCCAGCTCTGATAATGAATGTCAGGGTTTCAAGATGCAGAAAGTCATAATCTTGAGGTGCGGAGAGTCGTTGGACTCGAAGATGAATGAAAAGGGCGGCTTGGCTGCTACGGGGACCGAGAAGCTCCGGCCTAACCCAGAAATGGTGTAGAAGCAGGTGGGGATCATGGATCTAAGGTCTCCGATAGATGGTAAAACTGACGTGTACGTCGGATCGTCGTTCGTGGTGTCACCGAAGTTGATCTCCCTCCCCTTGCCGTCGTTTTTGAGGAAGAAGCAGGTGTCAAAGGTTGTTGACGACGGCTCGGTGACCCGACACTTGAGGCGGTTGCTCTGGATTGCTTGAAAATGGAAAGGCTTGGGGAAGGTGGGGGTGGGGTGGGTTTTTGGATTGGAGGGGAGGTGAAGATAGTGGAGGAGAGGGAGATGGTTGGGAGGCTCGGGAGGGAGAAAAGGGGTGGGGAGGGGTTGTGGGGGAGGTGGGGGAGGGGTTCTGCGTTTTCTGTTCTTTTTTTTCTTTTCTTTTTTAATTAAAAAATTATTTTTTTTGCCATGTGGTGCAAATTTGGCAGCCACGTGGCACAAATGTGGCAGCCACGTCAGCTCTTAACGGATCAATGGATGAAAAATGCAATGGATGTATTATATTGAAATAAAATAGTACTTGAGGTATGAAATTGAAATGTTTTAAAGGTGTTGTAAGAAATTGAAATGGACCCCAAACTTGAGGTGGTAAAGTGCAATTTACCCAATAAAAAATTAGAGAGATCTTTCAGTATGTCCAGAACACGGTCCGGTGCACCAAGTGTCATAATACCAATAATTGAATATTTAAACAAAAAAAATTCCAACTAGTTGTACCCATGGTGTACCGATTCAAGCACATTAAATTTTTTTTTTCCAAAAACTTAATAAGAAGCCAAGATGAAACATAGTAGGTTGAATAGGATGCTACACTAAGAATCAGCAACAATTGACGATGAATGCACGAAAAGAACAACAAAATGCATGGACATGGTTGAGAATTTTTCAGTGTGTCTGAAACACCTTTGGTACCAAGTATTATAATACAAGAGGCTAAATTTATTTTCAAATATCCAAAACTTATATTATGACATTTAATATATTGAGTTGGATTCATAGACAACAAAACGCAAAGAGAATTTTTCAAACATACAATTTATACGTAAAATGGTTGTATCAAGAAAAAAAGTACACGCAAAGCGGAGAAAATAAATAGTAAGCCGGATTCCAAAAGAACATGCCCCACCAAAAGGAAAAGGAATATGCAAGAATAGACCAACGCTATTATTTTTAATTATTGAGAAATAGAAAAGGTGTTCAATTTATCTTTTAGTAAAGATATATGTTATTTGAAAATAAAATTGAATTATACAATAGAAATATTTACAAATTCGGATCATTTTAATTATAAAGATGAATTATTTCACATAGAAATCACGTGTGCGCTGCAAGTCCATAATTATAAAGATGTGCTTTTTTTTCTTTTTGATTTAACGATTGATTTTATTACATTAGATATTAGACTAACCAACGGTGGTGTATTTTTTTCGATTAATTGATTATTTAGCAAAAATGACGGAAACATGATCACATCCTGTCCGGCTTTCCATTTATTTTATATTTTCTCCATTTTTACGTCTACGACTTTTCAAGTTTGAAGGTACCACAAAACTTGAGTTCCTGAGAAATCTTTACGAACCAAAGAACTATTTCGTGGGGTGGACGAACTTGGTGGGATGGAGGGAGAGGCGGAGATTGATCGGTTGCCAATAGACCTCTTGGCTCATATATTTGTTCTCATCACCTCCTTCACTGATTTAGCCCAGTAAGTTTTTGATTTCTTTTTCCGACTTAATTTTCCTTTTTTATTTTCTTCTGTAATTTTGGTGGTTTATATTTTCTGGGTTGTTGTTATTTTTTGTTTTTTTAATTTGTGTGGTGGTTGTGAATTCTGTGAAGGGCAAGCGGTGTTTGCCGGAAATGGAAACAGGCGGTGAAGCAGTCTTTGGGGCGGAGGGAGAGTTTGAGCTTTGCTGGTTGGAAGATGGACGATGACTCCACCGCCCGTTTGCTCCGCTCTGCTTACAGCCTCAAAGAGCTCGACATGTATATTATCTACTCTCTTACTTACTAAATTTTTTATTTATTTTTAAGAAATTTCTGTTTAATTTTAAATATCTGAGGGAATATTCAGAGCAAAGGTTTCAAAATTTTAACCTTTGGCGGTATTTTCTATAATTTTGTTGATTTTTAGAGAGTTAAGTGATTAATTAGTCTAATTACAAGTTAAAGTTTTATGGAAAAGGTTATGTACATTGTTTCTTGAATTATTTTGTAGGTTTTAAATTGGGAGTTTTAATGTAACACTCCCGTCACTGATCATTTTTAACGAAAAACCATATTTTTACCTTTCTTTAGTACTATTCACTATACCTTTATTGTCATTTTTCATTAAAACTAAATTTTTTTTGGACTTTTCGTTAGTTTTCCTTTTTAAATTTCTGTTTTTTGGTGAATTTTTTTGGTTGTGAAATATAGCTCTGCAAGTACTCAGAAATTGAGATACAATCTAATAAGAAGAAGAGAGATTAGACTCTGAACTTGGTTGTAAGTGTAGAGCTTCCTAATCTAACAAGAACCCGAAAGGCTTAGGTTGAAGTTCACGATTTCGTGCCCAATTTTGAGTGTCATTTTTCAAGATTACCCAAATAACTTACCTCCAAGTTTTTGTGCTTGGTTATGTTATGTGTTAGAGTGTATTTTCGCATTCAGTACAAAGTAGGTCTGTAACGATTAGGTTGTACTTTGGAAAAGTTATCCGAGTTAGAAGTGTTCTTATCTGTTGGTTTTCATTGGCATTTGGCAGAAATTTTTTGGGTTGGTATCATTATTGAATACTACTAACCCATGATTCTGTACTTAGTACCGCGTTTAGCGACACAAAAGAAGAAGTCGTTCTGTTTGTATCCAGGTTTATTAATAGATAAACTTGGAATTCACCAATGTCTATGCTTTTTCCTTTGTCTTTTCATCAGATTTGCATCTAATTACTGTAAGTATTCGATTTGGAATAGTCTGGTTTCATGCATAACAGCATAGTTAAAGCTCGTAGGAGGGATACCTAAATACCGTCATAGTCTCAGCATTTGAATTTCATGATTTAGTTCTTTCTCATTTCAAGATTTAGTTCTTTTGAGATGTACCACTTTGGTTCTTTCATGATATAGTTCTTGATTTATCTTCTTGTTTCCTCAGTTCAAGGCGTCGTTGGGGTTGCCAGATAACCGACACTGGATTGTACAGAATATCTATGGCAAAGTGTATCAGCAACTTAACATCCATATCGCTATGGGGCATCACAGGGATCACAGATAAAGGTGTTGTTCAACTGGTATGTGTACAAGCAAATGTCGTATGTTTGATTTACTGCTTTCATTTACGTGAGTTATTGTTTAACTTTCTCAGTTTGGCGTTCCTTTCCAACAGATATCAAGAGCTAATTCCTTGCACCACCTGAATATCGGTGGCACATTTATCACAGATGACTCGTTATATGCCATTGCTCATAGCTGTCCGCATTTGAAGGTAACTTGTTCATGGAAATTATGACTCAAGGTTTCATTACCCCAATTTTGTTCAAGTGCATTTCACCTCTGTTTGTTCCTCTCCTTTGTTTATTCCAGACTATCATCCTGTGGAGCTGCCGTCATGTAACCGAGAACGGCCTCTTTGTTCTAGTAAACTGTTGCCGCAAGCTTGAATCCATCAATGTATGGGGGACGAGAGTTCCTGTAGACTGCTTCATTGCTTTGCTTACTATCAGTCCGGCACTAAAGATAAAACCCAGAGGACTGTCGTTAAGTGTGGACGCTTCGATGTTGCCCATCGCATAAGCCGCCTTTTCGTATAAGTTCTTTCTACATTGCCATTAAATGTTGATGCTTCTATGTTTCCCGATGTATAAGCCGACCATTCATACAAGTTCTTTCGACATTGCTGTATGTATTTTTCGTTGTGCAGCTCAACGCCCTCGATGTGGGAGGTTGAGGCTAAATTATCAGCTCAATACTCTTGTTCCGTATATAATTCCTATGAATTACAGCCACCTATATTCTTTTGTGCAAGGTGTGAATAAAGGTCGAAGTGATTTAAAACTCAAAAGAGATTTCCAAGTCAGATTAAGTTGACTATTGTGTGGTTAAAATAGAAGAGTGATTCATGCACTGTTCTTGAGATTCTCTTGAAACCAATGCATAGTTCCAATGACGTTACAGATGGCATAGATGATTATAATGTGTTTAAATAGTATGCTATTTGTCTGTTACATACTTGCCCCGTGGCGTCTCCGATTACAGATGTAATCTCCCATATTTGTCACTTTCTACGCTCCCTTTTTAATTCTAGCACTTTGATTCTCCTTCAATTTGTTCACAATCTAATGGCTAAAAAAAAGTGCGTATAAAGTAAAATATGTGTATAAACCAAGGATAGGGCTATTCAGTACTCACAGTCTTTTACCTCTCACACTTTTGTTAATTATTATCTATTGGTCTTCAATTCATTCCATCCAACAACCAGAAACGGAGTGTATGAGCGGTAAAAATGTGTGAATAGCATCATCACCCATAAATCATTTCCGTACAAAAGGCCTCCTTAGACCAATTTTGTATTGCAATTTTCCTTGCAACATACGCAAATCAGACCATAAAAAGATGGACCCAATTTATTGTCAAAATGTTTAATCAACCAAAAGGAGGCATGTCATTCAACCCCAAGTGACCTCTTGAAAAACCATACGCTTTCATAGTACTGACCAACCATATGTAACAAAGAGAAATGAAGTCGAGATCTGTTGATATATGTACTGAGCTCTTAAGTTAAAAGACGAAACTATAGGATTGTCAACATCCATTGCAACGGCTGAGAACCAGACATATAAGGAAGAGTGGTACATACCTGAATTGATTCGTAGTACATTCTTGGTCCTTCGTCGTAACTATCTACTTCCGATGCCTCTGCAACTCCATAATCCTTGTCCCAATATAATTATAAAAGACTTTTCCTTACAATCACGTGTCATTACTCTAGAACCACAGAATGACTCCTTGACCTTCCACTCAACTAGGCAGGGTGCAACGGTTATCACTCTAAATTTTAGTATATTACATAGAAGAACCGCCAGAAGTAACTCACTAATGACCTATCCTAGTATTTAGAAGCTGCAGTCATAGCCAAAATACCATCAACGGAAGATAAAACAAGAAGACAACCAAGCGATTTGGAGAATAGACTGTTGAAGCAGACCTTGAAAACTGAACAGAGCCAGTAAAGCCTCCTGCATTGTTGGTCACTGGACTTCTAGTTGGTACAGAAATATTCTTGCAAGATCCAGAAGGTGCTCCAGCCTGCGAAAATCAAACAGTAGAGTGGTTTACAGTTTTCCTTACTCCGAAAATTGGCGTGTCATCACAAGGGTATGGGTAAATCAGTAGAAGTACCCTAAAGTTTTAGACAGATCGGAAATGTTTGAATATTTGGTGAGCTTTTGGATTATTGCTAAGGTTGGACAAAGTAGGACTCATGCCACGAGCTTTTAACCACCGATTTGGATCATAAAAAGCAATAAAGAAGTTCATAAATAACAAAATGAATGTGGAAACAAGTTATACAAACAAACCTGGCAGGCACTGACAGTACTACACCCGCAAAGCACTGGACCATTCATTCTATCAACAGCATCAAACACACCTCCTCCATCACTCCTCTGCATTGATATCATTTTATCCTTAGTTAAAATTCCTAGTTGGATGATGTTTTAGTATGTGCTTGTCCCTAGCTAAAATTTTCATACCATGTAAAAGTTGACTGCCAAAAAATTCGGCATCACCCCTGCAGCTTTATAACAGGTACTGACCATCTGCTCCAGTGGAGTTGAATGCTCTTCGCAAGCTTCAGCTTCAACAGGATATGTTGGGAAATAATTTTGAAAGAAAAGAGATGCACTTTTTGAATTCAGAGGCTTTGATTCTTTTCTCTTCGGGCATGAGCCTGGTTTTACCCCAGGATCTCCAGCTGAAACCCAATAAACAGGCTATTAACTATAAAATTCAAATATAATTTGAAGATGCAATGATATATCATTTATAAGTACCTTCGTTTTCCACCATGTATTTCCACTGGTAAGCTACTCCTTCCTGTGCTTCCTTTGAAGCATCAGACGTAAAAACAAGAAGCCGATGATTCTCTTGCACCATTTCAGTAACAGTGGGCCAATCTTCACCCTTTCTTGGCATTTTCGCTACAGGAAACCAATACTTATTTAACCCAGCATTGGTAAACAATGTCGTTAACCCTTTTGGAGTTTTCACGTAGTCCTCAATTATAATGGTCACAATCTCTGTCGGGTTCTGACTTAAAAATGTTTCCACTTCCGTCAAAGTGTTAATTGCAGGTTGCTGAGAAAAATCCAATGGACACATCATAAACAACCTCGCAAAACTATAACCATAAAATTCACATAATAAGTCATACATTGATAAGAGGGAAGAGAGATTACAAATGCAGTGAAGTTGAAACATTGCCCCTTAAAGGAATGACAAAGCCAGATATCATTCTCAAAATCGTACATATCCAACATCAGCCCTCTCACTCCATTCTAAAAACAATATGGCATAAGTTAATACTCATAAACGAATAATTAATGAATAAAACAAGCAGACAGTTTCATTATAATTTTGGATTCGAATAAAAAAAGCTAAAGAAATGAATGACATTCCAAACGTATATGTTCTAGTGACTTGATCCTTTCATTTTTTCGTTATAAAGAATATACCGAAAACAGCAAAGTTAAAACTTAAAAGCAAGGGCACATACTCTCAACTGGTTAGTAACAGTGTCCTCTTGGTTGTAAAATGTGAGTCTTTGAACACCAGGCACGGGCGGTGCATCAACGATGCTGAAAGAATTATGAGTCGCCAACCATGTGTACTTGTTGAATGGCAACCCATTAATCTAAAACACCATTCCAAAAAACAGCACAAACCCATCATCAAATTCACAAAAACCAAAAATGGGCAGACATAAATTTCTTGAATTTAGCTCAAAATATACAAAGCCATAAAAAATTTACAAATTTTAAGTCGAAAATGCTCACAATTGAAGTCGGTACGATTGCTTGGCCTCTGGTGCAAACGGGCTGATTCTTACCGGAAGCAGGGCAGTTGCCACAGTAAAGACCCGGCCCGCAGTCCGTCGCCGCCGCACAAGCATCTAGAACCTGCAAAATATCAACGCTTCAGCTCAAATTCCGAGAGAAAATGTGAGATTGTGCAGATCTTTGCGGGGAGAAAAGACAGAAACCTGGCAATTGCCGTTGGAGCAAGCAGTGGAACTGGTGGCCAGGACTGAGAAGAGTAGCAGGAAGAGGACGACAGTTGACGAGGCTCTGGATACGCCGCCTCGTTCCGCCGAGCACGGTGGCATGGTAGCTTGTGGTTCTGCAGAAAGCTCCAGAAATCCACCGCCCAGAGAGAGAGGGAGTGAGAAGTTTCGGAGAGAAAGCAAAAGAAAGAGAGAACTTTTACTGTAGAGAGGGGAGGGTGACAAGTTTTTGGGTGTGAAACGCGGGCTTTTTCACCTTTGCGTTTTTCTGACTAACAAAAAAGCCTTTAGTTTTCGTTTTCTTTTTTTATGGAAGTGCCAAGTTCCTATATCTGTCTATTTGTACAATTGTTTATATTATTTTTCTCATACAGATGGATTATCCACACATTTGAGTTTTTTCTTTATTAGAAAAATAATATTAAATAATAGTACAAATAGATGATAAAAATAACATTTTCGTTTTTTTTTTCTTCCGTTGATGGTTTAGTTAGTTGACTATTGTTACATACTCGCAAATTTGGTGTTTATTATTTTTTTTTAGTACATCGATATTTTTTACGCTAAGAAGTTGAGTTTGGTTAAGCCACACAATGGACAACTGGTGTTTATTATTATTTACCAGTAATAGGGATGTTGGAGAAGTTATAAAGATGAAGAGAAAAAAAAGTTGGTAAAGTTATTTTTGAACGAGGGGAATTATTTTTTTTACTCTTTTAAATTTATTTTGATAACACATGGGTGAAAGAAAAACAATAAAACTTTTGTTCAACTAAATTACTTTTATGTTCATATTTTTTTAAAATATTTTCTTTCAATTTTTTTATCAAGAAAAATAACTTCAAATAAAGGAAAATTCCTCTACTACAAGTACAACCACGGCCCAAGCAATCAAAATTGAGGGCAGCTAGAGAGGGAAGACATTGATTCCCAAAGTGGGGTTTAACAATGGTGAGAACACATCCGCCACGAATATTCTTAATTATGGTCCCTTGAAACCGCACAAATAATAAGTTTTAAATCTCTCTCCCATCAAAATGTTTTGAATCCCTTTACGTCTATCAAACCTTAGACCGTCCCTCAATCCTATTTTCTTTCAATTATGCATGAAAGAATACCATTATATTTGTTCTCGATTTTTTGTCAGACAAAAAAGATTTTATTAATAAATAATATAGATAATTAAGCTTCTTATGCTTCTGCAATCTTTAAAAACACACTCTAGAAACTGATCTTTATACAAAATGGTTATATTGGCCTTGCAACAAGCCTAAATTAATTTGTCATATAATTGATATTATACACTTTTAGTTATGTCTGTGGCTGTTTGTCTTTTAAAAGAGTAATGCTATTTATACCATGTTTTTATACCACATTTTCATATCATCTTAGGTGGCATTTGATGTGAACAATCACATTATTTGAATTAATCAGATTTTTAAATTTAGTTTATTATTTAATAAATTAATAATTAAGAAAAACTAGTTAATTAAATGATGATTGTGGTATACGAGGAATGTTTCTTCTTTATTTCCTTGGGTTTTGCAAATTTTTCAAATGATGTAACTGTCCACATCAGATACTACCTAAAGTGATATAAAAATGTAATATAAAAACATGATATGAATATCATTACTCCTTTTAAAAGCTTTTGGAATTTCCTCACCCCATGATGACATTGCGAAGTTACATTTTAGTGCCTCTCACATGGTGGGGTTGCGGGTAGGTCTTGTGTCT